AGAGAACAAAGAAACAGTCTGCTGGTGTTCGGTTGGATGTGGATGTGATGGCCTTACATTTGGAACAACCAAAAACATATAAATGTAGTTTTTACACATGTTGAGAAAGTTAAAATGAATGAATTATGATAGCAGGAAGGCTCTGATCTGCTCCAGAGAAGCTGCTGTCGCCTCACACACACTCACAAACAAAGGTCACACACACTCCCTCTGTCTTACTGTAGGTGTTGCTCTCTCTAATGATCTGCACACATCCGTCTGTAGTTTGTATGCATGAATGAGTGTGTAATCATTTAGCTTGGCTTCAAGCTACAGGAAACACATAAAACACGACCAGGCTTGAGAGGGTTACTTGGTACTCCGTTACTATTGTAAAAACAAAGATATTCAGTCACCTAATCTGAGTTTCAAAATATAAAATGCAAATGCAATACAAATAAAAACAAAAGGAAGGAAATATCAATAAGATGTGTTTTACTTAAATGTATAACACATCATTACAATGTGAATTTAGAAAAGAAGAAACCAAGATATTTAACATCAAAACAGATTGTATTAATAGGAAAAGCTGCCTTTCATGAAGCATATTCAGGCAGCAGCACTAGCAACACTGAAACACATGAGCACATACTACAGTTTAAACTCACACACTATTTTATGTATTTATAGGTTCACCTGCTGAATTAAAAACAGAACAAATGAACCAAAGAAAGTGAAAACCATGAAGCAGATTCAGGCAGTAGGCGTATTGATTCACACTCGTTTGCTTGAGCCACAAACCAAACCCATAGAACAGCTGTACAAGAGAGCTATCAAGGTGTTTGACAGAAAGCCACATTCATACCACCACTGTGCCATCCTTGAAAAAGTCTTTTAAAAGTATGTGTTTTTTTATAAATGTGTACATGGACTGCCCCCCCCTTAGGGGAATTCATCCACAGAAAACACACTGGACACTAGGTCAGAAACCAGAGGAGACTGTGAAGTCCATCGCAGACGGACCACTTTTGGACAAAATGTCCTCTCCATTAAAGGCAGCTCTTTGTGGAACAGCCTCCCAACTGAGATACGGGATTGTCCCACTCTCAATAGCTTCAAAGGTCAACTCAAAGAATGGTTGAGAAACAGACAGACGTGCAATCAGCGCTAAATGCACTTTAACACAGGGGTATCTCCTCTCGCACTTTAGGTAGCACTTTTATCTTCTCTTGCACTTTTATCTTCTCTTGCACTTTATATGTCGTAGCTGCTATATTGTATCACCATGTCATAAATACTTGTGTATGCTGCTTTTGCTCTCTTGCACCTTTTGCATATCATGTATTTTGTTTTTGCTATCTTTGTAAAATGTAAATGTCTTAAAGGTTTTTATGTGAGGGACTGCGGATGGAAATGAGCTGAAAGCTAAATCTGGCACTGTTACGCTTGACACATTTGAATGTTGTAAGGGTTCATTACAGTGCATTGTCCCTGCCAAATAAATGATTACATTAAGGGCCTACACAGTTGCTGCACTAAACTACATTTTAGCATTTAAAATACCTAGCCATTATTTTGCGGTTATTTTGGTGAAAGTAATTCAAAAGTAATATAAAAGTATGTGTAACTCATTACATTTCAGAGACAGTAATATTGTAATGTAACTTATTACTTAAAAAAGACAGTAATAAGTAATATGTAATGTATTACATTTTGGAAGTAACTTGCCCAACACTGATTGGTGCTCGAGTTGACTGCCTGAACTAGCTCGCAGGCTTCGCCCCATTTATGATACTTATGCTACTGTAAGGGAATACAGTTACCTTTTTTTGTATCCTGATTACTTAATACTGTAACATGTAATCTGTTACTTCCCAAGCCTGATCACCAGCACAGTTAAAATCGAGCGAAGAATATTTTTGATCTTGCTGGAAATGCAACAAATTGACCCAAACAATCTGACAGGACTCACTCATGTATTGAGTTGTATATTGTGTGTATATTTAAACTATTGATTTCAAAATGAAGTTGTGGGGCTGTGTTAACATCATGGAGACAATGGCAGATAAAATCCTGAGGGCTTAAAATACACTCCAACACTTGGAGTTTCCTCTTGCTTTCAATAGGTAAGAAACAGCCATTGATACCTGTCGTGTTTCTCAAACAGGAGTACTAGGACCCCTAGGGGTATTTAGGAGTACTACAGGGAGTATTTGCGATTTGAAAAATGTTAATTTACCAAATTATCGGTCATGCATAACTCCTAAAATACACCAAATGTTCAGTTTGAGTGGGAAGCCACTTTCTACCTTGAATGAGACAAATAGCAAAAAAGTGTATTGTTGAATACGCAATATAGCCATAACATGGAGAAAAGAGAGGGGGGAAAGCAAAAAAGTTAATATTCACTTTTCTTAACCCTTAGATGCACGAGTGACTCTCCACTCTTCCATAAGTGGGTCTAAAAGGACCCGTATTAGAATAATATGTGTTTTTATGCCATTTCTGTCATTTTGGTTAAGAAAAATCACTTGTTTAATATTTAGTATTATATTTTGGTTCACATTAGAAATATTTTATATTTAATTTTTCACAATCTATAATTTTAGACATTTTTTTACATTTTGAAAAAAAACATTTTGAGCATATTGATGCAAAGATCTCCGCTATTCTGAGACCCTCGCAGTATTCCAGTCCCTTTTCAAAACTCATCTCTTCTCCTCTTGTCTACTCATATCCCCCCCCATCAATCCATGCCGGTTGATCAAGTTTGATAGTCCTATACACCCCCACTAACCTTCCCTTATATTGTAAAGCGATGTTGAGTCCTTGAAAAGCCCTATAAACATATAATGTATTATTATTATTATTATTATTATACTGACAGGTATCAGATCTTGCTGTGTAAAATAATCTTCCTGAGAGGTGTCACTTGTGATGTAGTCTGTGTGGTCCACAGTGAATGTATTCCTGACAGCCACAGGTGATAAGAATCAAAGGTTCCCATAGGATCCAAGCGGCCGAGATGGGTTTTCTCCGCAGGGTGGCTGGTGTCTCCCTTAGGGATAAGGTGAGAAGTTCGGTCATCAGGGAGGGACTCGGAGTTGAGCCGCTCCTCCTTCGCGTCGAAAGGAGCCAGTTGAGGTGGTTCGGGCACCTAGTTAGGATGCCACCTGGGCGCCTCCCTAGGGAGGTGTTCCAGGTACGTCCAGCTGGGAAGAGACCAAGGGGTAGACCTAGGACCAGGTGGAGGGATTATATATCTTCGCTGGCCTGGGAGCGCCTTGGGATCCCCCAGTCAGAGCTGGTTGATGTCGCCAGGGAAAAGAAAGTTTGGGGCTCTCTGCTGGAACTGCTACCCCCGCGACCCGACCACGGATAAGCGGAAGAAGATGGATGGATGGATGGATGAATGGCATGATATCCAAAACATGTTTTTGGAGGAATAGCTGGAATATGAAATGATAAAAAAAAATGTTAATTACATAGATACTTCAAGAAAACCACCTCAGCGGGTCCAAAAAGACACTAATGCATCTAAGGGTTAAGATTATAGAAAATAAAAATAAATCGTTTTTTCTTTTTTATACCTTGATTTCTGCAAAGGTTAACTTTTATTTGAACAGATTTTAAAGTAAGGAGGATTAACTGGCCGATGGTTTACCTGGCTCACAGTTCCTAACATCAGTTATTAGCAACATAGGCCATACCTCACTTGTAAAAATATATATAATATGAATCAGATTTTGTGATGACCTGTCTAAAGGACAATACTAGTTCCTGTCACAGAAGCTATTTGAAATGACCCCCAATTTATAAGAAATTGTAGAAAAGTCATATAATGTAAAATATATTCATATATAACTCTAACCTTGGGCTCTTCTGGATTGAATCCACTAAGCCTGTGCTTCTTGTTTTAAAATAATTAAGAGGCGTGCCATCACCCCCAAGAACATAATAATGGTACGGTGCACCTTGAATGATCAAACTGGTCAATCAAGTAATCGAGTATTCAATCAATGTATGACTTTTCGTACTTTCTTTTTGTTTCTCAACGTGTGTACGTTTCTCTGACCCGCACTTATTTTTCTGTTGTTCTCCATCAGCTGATTCAGACCCTCCGAGCTGCAGATCTGGACAACTTTGCAAATGGAAAGTTTTCCTTTTACTTTCCTGCTGGGATTCCAACCAACCCAGATTTTACTGTGAAGGACAATGGAGGTAAAAATACATACACACACCATTCGTTAAACATGACAACAAATATAACACATAAGGGTATACTACAGACATAATGCTGCAATTGGTAAAGTTCCTTTTAAATTACCATACATGTATATACTGCTGGGTGGCTAAATCTATTATATTATAAATTGGTACAAAATAAAAATAAATGCACTGTCTATAGTCCAGTGATTCTCAAAGACCATGACCCTAGAGGCTGATTGAACTGTGGCAGAAAATGTAACACAAAAAGGGAAATATATATAAATCAAACATATATTTCCAGAGTTACGTTCCCTCTCCTTTCATTTAACTGAGTCAACATCAGCTGTGACTCTTCAGATTGGAGGCGGGGCTAGAGCAAAATGCAAGTGCGCACCCTATGGGCCCAGATACGGGTACTTCTGATCTCAAGGGTCAGGCCAACGTTTGCTTCTGGTTATCACATTTATGCTTCAAAAATCCTAAAAGTGGTGTTAATATGTTGAGATTATACTGCTGAACAAAACATGCAAGTATCATTAACGTGTGGGAAGCCTATTTTCTGCAATATTCTGAAATCCAATGGAAAAATCCCATTGCTCTTTGTTGGGCCAATAAGCACGCCATCCCTGCACCACTCTGCATTCTGTTGTGCAACCCTGTGTTGCGTAATGACTTAATGATCCTTCACTCCTGTTTACCTCCCTCCGCAGGTGATGAGAGTAGCGTTGCCGGTTTATGTGTGTTGGGATTTGTGTTGTGTGCACACCCAGAGGCTTCATGCATGTCAACAGGAAACACACTATGTAAATGAAGATATCCTTCTGTGCCGTGCCTAGTCCTGTTGGCATACCCTGCACACATTACCAAATCCACACACATATCCCACTGCTGACGTGCTTCATCGTGGCTTCCCCAGGGAAGGTTGGACTCTCACTGATGTGGAGATGCCTCCTCATACATATTCATCAGCTGCTTCTCTATCAGCTTCTCTCAGACACTGCCTCCAGAGTCAATGCCTGCATATCAGAGAGGGCTGCAGCTACAATGTAGAACCACTTAGGTCACCTAGGGAGTCAAAATAAAGCTTTATTTATAGCACTTTTCATACACAGGGTGCTTCAACATATATTTTAATATATATAACGAATACAAGGAGGTGAAATAGGCTGTATAAATTGAATACATAATAATACACAATTTCACAACAGATAAGGCACAAAGTTAGACAAAAAGATTAAAAACAATAAAATATGAAAACGATCATACACATAAAACAATGTAAGAAAAATGGGGGAAATAATAATAAAGATTAAAAGACCAATTATGACTTTTACAGATATATTGTTTAATTTAGCATGCTTAAGTTTGCAAAATGTTTTATAGTTCAATGAATAAATGACTATGTGATTTCAAAGACATTTTTCACATAAAACCTAATATTCATAATGAATAAGTATGATCTCCGTATTTCTGAAATCAAAGATAACACCCCACTGTAAGTGTCTCTCAACAATTATTATTCATCATTAGCACTAGTTAGAAAAGACTGTAATGTAAAAGGGTTCGCTCAAATTGATGCACCAATTAAAAAGGACACCCAATTCTTATTTATTTTCCAAAGGCTCAAATGAACCGAATGTAGCTGTCCAGCTGCATGCCGCAGAGAGACATAGTTCCATACTAGATGATGAGCGGTGGAGCATTAGGTAACTAAAGAAACAGGTGGATCTTTGGGAGTTGGTGGAGACCAACATATAGTTAAATGTGGCAACGAAAAACATTAAAAAGCTTAAACATATAAAGGCAATGCAGCTTTTGTTGAAGTTATTGGACCCTATTGTCGTTTGATGACAATGGGAGGCGTGTGGCGCAGTGGATAGATCAGGGTCACAGGTTCAAACCCCACTGCAGTCAGCATGTCGTTGTGTCCCTGAGACACTTCACCCCAAATTGCTCCTGTGGGGATTGCCCACAGTATTGAGTATGTAAGTCGGCTTCGGATAAAAGCGTCTAACAAGTAACATGTAATGTAATGTAATGACATTCTTATACCTTGTCAATGTACTATTGATTCCACAGGATAGTAGGAACAGTGCAAGGGAAAGTGCAGACAGGTAGGCAGTACAAGTAGGTGGTAGGTTCAGCAGATGATAGAAGCTCCAAAGCAATGACACAAAGCAGAGCTGACAATCTGACAGGGTTAAAGGGCCTGGCATTGAAGCAAAGGGGGTGGAAAGAGAGTCAGGTGACTGGACAGGTTACTGTACTTTATTAAAGTGGCAAGATTTTCTCCTTCTTCCCTTGTCTGTCCTCTCCAGACCACACTGCCAGTATAATCTCTCAGCGGCGGGAGGGCTTCAGTCAGGACCGGGACCAGGAGGTCTTCAGCCTGGTGCTGGTGGTGGCTGATGGGGGGGGAGCCCCCTCTCAGCAGCACTGCTACGCTCTCCCTGAGGGTGTGTGTGTGTCAGAGGAACACCAGGGGGCGCCACAACAGCGTCTGTCAGGCCGAGGCCTTCCTGTCCTCAGCTGGTCTCAGCATCGGGGCTTTTGTGGCTATTATGCTTTGTATCGTCATATTAATAAGTAAGTATGTGGGGGGGAATGTCTATCCTTGTCTTGTACATCTCACATGCTTGGAATTGGAAGTTTTGCTGATTTTCTGTGTATAATTTTGTATATAATATATATTTTGTAAATTATTCATTGGGAAAAATGGTTGCTGTTGTGTGGATTTTAAACCATTCATTGGCATATACACAGCTTCATGATTCTTACCAGAAGTGTTTCGTACCAGTAGATTGCGAGTGACAGAATACTAGACTAGTGCCTTCTTTGATTGTCCGGCAATCAAATCACGGATTAATTGGATTTTTCCAAACTGTGTTAATAACAAGTGTTACTAGTAAAATAAGAAGTACAAAGTCGACAACAGGTACCTGTCTGTTTACGTTGGTGTTCTCACCCTATCAACTGGTTCCAAACTATAACAGGACAGTTCCTAAAGATAAACAACTTAAAGAGCCAAGATTTTGTTGATACTTTGGTTATAATCCCAGTGTTGAAGAATGCACTTCCTTGCTTTAACGAAAATTGGTGTAGCTTCCTTTCGTTCACCGAAGTTGGATATGTCTTGTCCCGTTCTGTTGGATGTCTCCTTGATTCAATCACAGTCAGTGCATGATGCATTTAAACGCCAGAAACTCTTTTCCTGAGGATTTTCTCAATCAGTCTTTGTCAATAAATATAACATGAAGTTTTAGTAACTAAGGATAAAAGCTGATATATATTTGGTGTAATGGTACGTAAAAACCACTTGGTTTTGTATTTCTTAGACATAAATCCTCTTACGTTTTTACAAGAATCTGATGCAACCATCCAATCAATCAATCAATCAGTCAATGTTTATTATCCAATCATTCTGTTCACGTTATGGTAAAAAGGATTTTGTTGATTTGTATTTACGTCTCTTTCCCCTTTCTTCTGTTCCCTCCAGCCATAGTGATGCTATTCACCCAGCTCCGAAATAAGAAAGCGAGTAAAGAGCCCTTAATTCTTTCCGAAGAGGACATCAGAGAAAACGTGGTGACCTATGACGACGAGGGGGGCGGAGAGGAAGACACGGAGGCCTTTGACATTGCCGCACTTCGAAATCCCCAAAACTCAGAGACCCTGAGGAAGTTCCACAGTTACCATGGCTACAGACCAAGCCCGTACGAAGAGGATGAGCCGGAGGAGGACGAGATGGAGTATGACGAGGACGGGGTCCTGGTGCTGAGGAGGGGGACGGCTCAGGAGGTGGATTATGGGAACTACAAAGCAGGGCCAGAAACGTCCTGGTTTGTCCTTGACTGCGTTCCTCAAGAGATCAGCCAATCGGCACCCTCCCTTCTGCTGCAGGGTCAGGACATCATTCAGCAGATCCTGGAGCAGAAGGTTGTCCAGGCAGACTCAGACACACGCGGTCCACCTTATGACTCGCTACAGACGTACGCCTATGAGGGCCGGGGGTCCTTGACAGGGTCCGTCAGCTCTCTGGGCCTGACCGGTGCAATGCCCGAACTAAACTATGCCTTCCTGGAAGAATGGGAGTCAGATAGGCAAAGACTGGAACACCTGGTCGGAGAGCAGCTGGGTACAGATCAAGCTAACACTGACTAAGACGTTTTGTCTTTTTCTTTTTTTGTTACTGTTAGCAAGACTTTCTGAACCAGATGCTTTCTACTTGTGGTATTCAACCTGAGTGCCAAGAAGCAAAAGACTGCCGCAAAAACTGGCAATTAGGAATTGAGATGTCATATGAAACCTGAGAATAAGAAAAGGCATTTTCTATGTGTGACAGGTTCAAAGAACAAAGGCTTCTGGTCTTCATCTTCACTGTTACCAAAACGGTTAAAACCCCTTGCACAGCTACCCTGGAGATAATTACTGTATAAGCTAGGAGCCCAGTGATCCAATTATCAGACATGTTTCATTGGCTTGAAATATGGAAACAGGAAGTTTCACTAATTTCACATTCATTAAAGGTCACCTAGTGTGCAAGATCGACTTCTTCATGTCTCCTCTACATCACCATGTGTCCCCTCTTCTTCATGTCTCTTCTACATCTTCATGTCTCGTCTACATCAACATGTGTCCCCTCTTCTTCATGTCTCTTCTACATCAACATGTGTCCCCTCTTCTACATCAACATGTGTCCCCTCTTCTTCATGTCTCTTCTACATCAACATGTGTCCCCTCTTCTTCATGTCTCTTCTACATCAACATGTGTCCCCTCTTCTTCATGTCTCTTCTACATCAACATGTGTCCCCTCTTCTTCATGTCTCTTCTACATCAACATGTGTCCCCTCTTCTTCATGTCTCGGCTACATCAACATGTGTCCCCTCTTCTTCATGTCTCTTCTACATCAACATGTGTCCCCTCTTCTTCATGTCTCGGCTACATCAACATGTGTCCCCTCTTCTTCATGTCTCTTCTACATCAACATGTGTCCCCTCTTCTTCATGTCTCTTCTACATCAACATGTGTCCCCTCTTCTTCATGTCTCTTCTACATCAACATGTGTCCCCCTCTTCTTCATGTCTCTTCTACATCAACATGTGTCCCCTCTTCTTCATGTCTCTTCTACATCAACATGTGTCCCCTCTTCTTCATGTCTCTTCTACATCAACATGTGTCCCCCTCTTCTTCATGTCTCTTCTACATCAACATGTGTCCCCTCTTCTTCATGTCTCTTCTACATCACACGTGTCCCCTCTTCTTCATGTCTCTTCTACATCAACACGTGTCCCCTCTTCTTCATGTCTCTTCTACATCAACACGTGTCCCCTCTTCTTCATGTCTCTTCTACATCAACACGTGTCCCCTCTTCTTCATGTCTCTTCTAACATCAACACGTGTCCCCTCTTCTTCATGTCTCTTCTACATCAACACGTGTCCCCTCTTCTTCATGTCTCTTCTACATCAACACGTGTCCCCTCTTCTTCATGTCTCTTCTACATCAACACGTGTCCCCTCTTCTTCATGTCTCTTCTACATCAACACGTGTCCCCTCTTCTTCATGTCTCTTCTACATCAACACGTGTCCCCTCTTCTTCATGTCTCTTCTACATCAACACGTGTCCCCTCTTCTTCATGTCTCTTCTACATCAACACGTGTCCCCTCTTCTTCATGTCTCTTCTACATCAACACGTGTCCCCTCTTCTTCATGTCTCTTCTACATCAACACGTGTCCCCTCTTCTTCATGTCTCTTCTACATCAACACGTGTCCCCTCTTCTTCATGTCTCTTCTACATCAACACGTGTCCCCTCTTCTTCATGTCTCTTCTACATCAACACGTGTCCCCTCTTCTTCATGTCTCTTCTACATCAACACGTGTCCCCTCTTCTTCATGTCTCTTCTACATCAACACGTGTCCCCTCTTCTTCATGTCTCTTCTACATCAACACGTGTCCCCTCTTCTTCATGTCTCTTCTACATCAACATGTGTCCCCTCTTCTTCATGTCTCTTTTACATCAACACGTGTCCCCTCTTCTTCATGTCTCTTCTACATCAACACGTGTCCCCTCTTCTTCATGTCTCTTCTACATCAACACGTGTCCCCTCTTCTTCATGTCTCTTCTACATCAACATGTGTCCCCTCTTCTTCATGTCTCTTCTACATCAACACGTGTCCCCTCTTCTTCATGTCTCTTCTACATCAACATGTGTCCCCTCTTCTTCATGTCTCTTCTACATCAACACGTGTCCCCTCTTCTTCATGTCTCTTCTACATCAACATGTGTCCCCTCTTCTTCATGTCTCTTCTACATCTATCTTCCCAAATGTGGATCAGAGTGGATTAGCTCCAGTTTCATGATCATGCTCTGGAACAACAATGAAAGGTGATCTCTAACCATTTCTTAGACTGCAGGAACCTAACAACCCACAACCTTAGCTATGATCAAAAGAAACTAATATCCATGTTATTATAATTCAAGCAAAGCTTTTCACAGCATACAACAGAATTCTGTCCCTATTTCCTGAAAACTGTGGTCTTTCTGCAGCTTCGCTTGCTTTATCAACAACACCGACAAATGTGTCATTAGCTCAGAGATCACAGCCTTTGTGGGGCAGTGCTGAGTAGTGGTCTTGGTCCACCCTTTTTCTCTCTACTGTGAATTATGACAGCTAATAACAGTCTATTGTACATTTATTCATAATGAATAATTATGATCTCAGCATTTCTAAAATCAAAGATAAGACCCTACTGACGTAATTACAACCACTATTGATAATGGGATGAAAAGCTAAAGATAATATTACAATTCTATGACTTGGCCTTAAGACCACGTTTGATTATCTATAAACTGTGATCAAATCTAAACACAGGAATTAAGGGGGCTTTTTTGGACATATCTGAACCACGTTATCATTTCAATCAGATCTGACTATTCTACTGCTATTCCCAAAGCTTCCAAAACACTGTTTACTGGCTCCAGCTCATTCAAAGACTGTCACAAGATGACAAGGTTTCTTGTTAGGCTCTGATACTGACTTCTTTCTTGACTGTAGGAGATTTGACAATGTTATTCTACTCTTTTATTAACATGAGATACAAATAAACCTACAGACCCTGCTGGTCCTGAACACAACATGTAATTCTGCGTGCCATAATGATCCAGTTAGTTCTATTAAGCACAATGTGCATGTTTCATCTTCATGTTGACAGATTCTGGTTTCCCTAGTTCCATGTCCCTTTCATGTCCTCTTACCAAACACTATTGGCTTTTATTCTTACTTTGTTTTAAGGAGTAAGATTTGTTTTCCCTGGACGATCTGGATGCAGTAATAAAACTATAAAACGAATGGTTACAGTTTTTTGGTTAGTTGTACTCTCATTTAGCACAATGTCAGACATTTGCCTCGAAGGGCTTGTAGCAACCAGTCATTGATTTTCAAAACTGATGATGTTATGATTTAAAGTATGATGTTTTTCTCAAGTGAGCTCCATACATTCCTAAAATAAGCACAAACTGTTGGCAATGTATGCACAACATATTTTATTAGTTCCTACGGTGGAAAAGTCTGTTGGGAACAAGGACAATTCACAAGGTCATTGTTTCATGCCAACTCCAAGACCAGAGTCCTTGAGGAATAATGGGAAGATGGACCAACTGAGCCCGTTCTCCCTTGTGTATATTTGTATCGGTAAATAAAGCAAAAGCTTTTTTTTGTGATTTGATTCATTTCTATCCATATGTCAAATCCTTGAAATATGCAAATGTTTCACTAAATTACTATTCTCAGGTGATATGCAGCAGATGGCTTAGTTCGGATACTCATTATATGTAGTGATAAATATGTATTTTCTCTCATCCACCGCTTTCTGTCAAAAAGACATTTATTTTCCATTGTTCTGTAAACTATGATCACATGATCTGCATTTATCAGCTCATTGTGAGTGTTCTCTTTTAACCAATTACATTTCAGCTCAATCTCCAGCAGCCAATCAGCGTGCTGCAGTCAAACTTTAAAATGGTTCTCCTCTCTCCTGCAGTCAGCTGTGATGTCAGGTGTTCATGCTGTGGCCCGCCTCCACCCCATCCAGCCCTTTCATCATGTCCAGTGCCAGGAGAGCTAATCCAAAGACCTCATCACTCCTCCTCTTCATCCCACCTCCTCATCAATCCAGATCTTCAGCATCCTCTTCATCCCACCTCCTCATCAATCCAGATCTTCAGCATCCTCTTCATCCCATCTCCTCATCAAATCCAGATCTTCAGCATCACCACCAGTGTCTACATCCCCTGGGGTTTCCCTATTATACTCACGGTTGCATTTCCCCCTTAAAGGTCCCATGTCATGGCCATTTCTACTGATCATAGTTCCATTGTTGAGGTCTACTAGAATAGATTTACATTGTGCAATGTTCCAAACTCACATTGGTTTCTCATCCAGCATCTCTGTATAGTATGTGTATTCACTCTCTGTCCTACACACCTTGTTGGAGCTCCTGCCCCCCCCCCCCCCCCCCCCCCCCCCTCCCTATGAGCCCACTGTGCTCTGATTGGTCAGCTTGCCCACTCTGTTCTGATGAGTCCACCACCGTTACAGCGGAACATCAGTGATTATGTGTTACAATGGCGTTAGCAACCAGAAAATGACACCAGTAATGACAAACAGATGAGAATGCTGTGTGGGGTCTGGGTGCCGTGTTGGCGGGACTTTGCGGGGCTCGCTGCTCCGCCCTTTGAGGCTCGAGGAGCGGACAGTGTGAGCTGGATTACTGTTGTCGTTTCCTGGTTGCTGCGTGGGATCTGCGAGACATGCTGCAGCACCCCCCATCTGCGAGGCTCCACTAGCACCTGTACCCCCCCCCCCCCCGCACCTCCAACGAGGCGTTCTGGGGCAGCACAGACAGGTATTTTCTGTGTTAGAGTTTTACTCGCTACAGAGTGTACTTTGAGGGTTTTTGACTCTGCAGACCGTTTATATGCAGAAAAAGTTACATAACACACAAGGGGACGGGTAATAACCTGAAAAGCATGACATGGGACCTTTAAGATATACGATATCAGGATCGGGGTTTAATCGCCAAAGATTATCAACATTTACATCATATGGAATAAGTGTCAATAAATGTTCTTTAAGCAGAAAATGAAGTCTCTCCTGATTGAAATAGTGTTTATTGCTCTGAGCTGTGCCGCATTGATCAACCATTTTTATCAATACAGTAATTTCCCAGGTTATTAATACACATCTGAGCACATAGGTTTAATATAGCCCTTGACTACAGTTCAAATCTGGGGGCCCCCTGTATGTGTAATTACTTTGAAACATGTATGTTAGAGCTTTAACTTATACATCATCACGTCATTGACAAGGCTGCTAAAAGCAAATGTCTAGGGCTAGTGGTGCAATGGATACCACGTCTGAGTATGGGTCAGACGATTCTACGTTCAATTACTAACTAACTAACAACTCTCTCTAGCCAGTAAATCACTTGTTCCTCATTTCCAACAGTTCTTCAAACCAAACCGCTCGACTGTCTTTTGAAAAACTGCAAGAGTCGTTGCATTTCCCCCTGAAACCACCATGGGTCTGTAAATGCAGCACAGTGTCTACTGCAGTTGTCATGGTGAGCACTCTAGACTCTGAGCAACTAAGATGGTTATCAAATGTCTTAGTTCACACATGCTTTCTTCCCATCTAGCCCCATGAACGTCATACAGAGGAAAAGGCTATTATAGTTTACATTTGAAATGTCACCTTCGGGCAAATGGTCGGTGGAACACTTGAGGACATAGTGTTTAATATATTAGAGATTATGAAACAATATAACCACAACTGAATACTGTATGTTGATGTTGGATTTATTATCTCCATAATCATTTGGTGAATGGTTTATTAAATCTATTGTTTTAAATAAATCATAACATAGACATTCTGAATTGGAAGCTTTAGGTAATCAGGTCATTTTTTGGAAAATCAATAAGTTTGAATTGTTATACGATGTATAGTGGCATGAACAAAAGGAGCTTTTGCTTTTATAATGGATGTCATAATGTTGTGCACATGTGAATTATTATTATATCTTTTCATTTGAATATTAAGAATAGCTGATTCACAAGAGGTATACAGGCAACAAAGTGTTCTTCGGGAACACCTGAAAACAAAGAAGAACATGTTTATAAAATGGCTTATCCTTTTAGCATACCACAACGTAACACTTAATGGTTTTAACTTATTAAATATATTGGTGAATGGGTAAAAAATGTGAAAAATATATATCATCATGAAACTTCCCCAGTGGAGTACTTTCGTTAAGACTATTATTTCTTGTATTACAAGTTTTCAGATTTTCAGTCCATTCCTCTTAGTCCCCTATACTAACTTGTTTGCACAAATGAAAAGCATGTTTTGTAGGTTCATCTGGAATAATAGGGCTAGGCCTGCCATATTTGGGTTGTACCTCCCCTATGAGAGAGGCCTGGCACTACCAAATCTTCAATGGTATTATTGGGAAGCCAACTCTCTGTGGTCTCCTGCTGGTTCTCACTACAAACACCAGTATCCTGGGTAGGCATTGAACAATATAACACATCTCCTCTGCCACTGAACCTATATTTGTACTCAGGTAAACTCAAAGAACTTAACAAATGTAAGTGTGCAGAATCCCTTTGTCAAAAATATGATACAGGTATGAGGTTCATAAATACAGAGATGAAACACTATACAATTTCCCCCTACCTGGGGAAACAGTAACTTTACAAGTTTTCATAAAATACATGTGTAAATATGCAAATGAGGCATTATCTAATGCTAACATTTGGTGAATTCAGTAGGAAACGTATATAGGTAAACCAAGTTAGACAAAATAAACACATCAATATGTATTTTGGATGTGTACTTTTCTACTTCTGAAAGAAGACATGAAATAGCCCCAAATTCTCTAGATAGAAAAGATCTGGTGCCCGTGGTGTCTTGTAAAAAGACCTCAGAATTCTACAACAGTATAGTTTACTTAAACAATATAGCAACTTTTAAATATAAAAAGTATAAAAAACTAAATACAAGAGTGTGCATGTTTACACCCATTCCCTTCCCCATACAGAACAAGAAAGCAGTCATAGTATAAAACATTTAAATAATAAACAAACTAAGAGTTGAAATATCTCGTAAAAATAATAATAATAAAAACAGTAACAAAAAAGACAAATAGATGCAAATAATAATAATAATAATAATAAATAGAGTAATTATAAATAAATAGAACAGTGCCGATATTATCATTATTAACAAACTCTAAACAGTATACGATAGTTTAAACTTCCATCAGTCAATTGTAAACGTAATGCACATATTGTCATGTTAAAAAGGTCAAGATAAATCGTAGTTACAGTTGACTTAAGCACACTGTACTCTAATTCAGTTAGAAAGGAAAGGAGTGGGTTGCCATGTACCGGTGGAGCCAAAGTACACTTTATTTTGTCCATGTGTAGAACCTGGTAGAACCCTCCCGAGTTCTAATGTGCAGCCTTTTGTCCGTGAGTGCTGCCTGCCTGCAGCCACCAAGGGGCAGCAGGACATCCCATAACATCCAGCACGGCTCCATTTCACTTCCTGAGTCATCCTGCATGAATTGCCTTTCTTCATACCATTAACTCAAGAGTGTAAACGATTAAGCAATTCGCTTTTTTGAAAGTATCACGGTTCCCACCTGTCTAATTCTAAGGATGTTTATGAGTTGAATAATCCTATTTTTAATATTATATTATTATATTATATTATATACATATGTGTGCTCATATGACCCATTGACCTACAGCTGTTGACATATGAATAACCGTGTAATTTCAACTTCTCTAAAGTTATCAAATGTAAACATAGATTGCTATAACTTTAGTAAGAATGAATGATATATGGTATCAAGTGCTTTTACAAAGATTACAATTAACCACAGCTATAACTAGCTGATACTTCATTGCTTTTGCATGTCTATTTTATAATGCAATTTATCTTTTCAACTTGGATGTGTACTTAATTGATTTGTTTAACGTGTGCTTCTTTATTAATTCATATACCATTTATTCTGTGGGACGATAGGACTTATGATTTATGGAACCCCCACAGATATAATTGGTTTAGTGGGAAAGGCGGTAGCCAGGAATGATACTGCCCTAGTTTGAAATAGTCCCAAGCAGAGTATGTCCGGTGAGTCACAGTAGTTTGATCGTGGTTCGCTCCAAGGTCCTGTCTTTCTCGCGCCAGTCCTTTGGATCTCGCGCGCAGTTTCAGTGGGTTTAGGCACGCTCTACAGAGGACCAATCAGAGAGCAGAATTCCTCAGGAGCGTCCCGTTGCCATGCAGTGGTCCCGAAACCTGTCTTGTGCTGTCCGGCAGCGAGGGTGAGTTCCTATTCATTCAGTTAAAGTAGATATGTATTCACTTTGGGGTATACAATGTGGAGTCCTGTTTATGTTCAGGTTGTTCTTAGATTGGAAGAAATATGTTTGTAGTCAAGATACTTGTGTGTTTTATGCAAAGTTTTGGGGAAGTTAGGAGTTCACTAGGGACATCAACAGCTGTGAATGGCTCCACGAGTAGATGAGTTTTGCAGCCCGGGTACTGAAAAGTGTATTTTAATGTTAGTCCAAAAATGTGAGAGGCCAGCAGTCAGCAGACAGCTGCAGTTACGGTGGTTACCCGGTTGGAGACACACGCGCCTGTTGCTGTGTGACCAACCAATCACACTCGAGGGCACGCCCAATGATTAGCATACGACCAATCATCGCAGTTTTGCAAATGTTCTCTCCTGACTTGCATTGTCCCGGACAGTTTTAATGTGGAGTTGCCAGTTTTATCCCTCAGTTGCAGCATAGTGAACTACAGATAAAGTGTGTGTTTAGTCGAGAAGATACCAGGATAACTCGCCAGTACTAGAGACTACACTCTCTCTGCTCTTGCGTGGATTTGGATTATATGTACAACATGACATTTGAGGAACTAAGTGGGGATTACTCTCAAGAAAGGTAAATTATATGCCATTTATTCTTTAAAACATCGGTGCATGCTTACTGCTACCGACCTGCTACGCTGATTTTGCTATCATATTGGTTGTCTGCAGCAGCATTACATGCATTTAATATATTAATGCACGATAAAAGTGACTTCAAAGATATTTATTTGTTAACAACTACTTGACATTGTCGTTGTGGCAGACAGGTTAGCTAACTGGTCTTCTGATGAGAACATGTCGCGAGACACTTTGCACTCACTCACTAGCTAACACAATGCTGTTAAAAGTAATATAAGTATCAGGAAAGTTGACATGACACGACATTGAATATGCCGGTTTAGTTTCCCACACCTGTCAAAACTATATTAACTGTTAAAGTGAAAACAATTCACTTTTTACGTGGCGAAACCAACCCGTGCACATCTGTCAGTTTGAGACGACGCCGGGTGGTTAGCTAGCAGTGAAGCTAACTGAATGTTAGCCAGGGCATAATGACGTAGGAAAGTGTTAGTGGTATGGTTTAACGATGTCCTACAGTGGTGTTATTTGTATTATATTTGTATAGGTTAAGCTACCCAGTTGTGTATAAAGTAATTCAAATAAATCCCACTTTTGCTAAGTGCACCATTGCAGTGTGAAATACATGAATGCATCAACAATTTGAATAAATGTAATAGAATCATTTAAAAATATGTGGTGCTTAAAATGACTATTTTGCATAACGCATACTTTTGCTTTTGGTACTGGTACTTAAAGTATTGTATTATGCCAATACTTTTTTACTTTTACCTAATTACAATTTTGAATGCAAGATTTTTACTTAGCTGACGCTTTTATCCAAAGTGACGTACAATAAGTGCAATAAACCATAAAGATTCAAACTAAGGACAACAAGAACAGTGCTGACATATTCACTTCAAATAAGCAAGATCATTGAAAGTTCTGCTGCATACTCTTTACACTGCAGTATACTTTTACTTGAGTAAATAATCTGAGTGGTCCTGACCTTGTCTGTGTGTTGCAGAATGGATTCGGTGGCGAAAGCTTTGGAAGAGGTCCTCGCCTCTGCCTTACCGCAGGGCTGCATCACTGTCGGAGTGTATGAGGCTGCCAAGTCCCTCAATGTGTAAGTACAAGGTTACAATGTTAATCACCCATTGACAGGCACCACAGATCCCTCACTAAAAACTACTGTGCTTATGTACAATAGTACTTATCCTGTGCTTTGTTTCAATCCAAATAGACTAATTGTCTCTTCCTTTGCTCTCCAGGGACCCTGATAATGTGGTTCTGTGCATCCTGGCCACTGATGATGAAGATGTGAAAGATGTGGCCCTGCAGATCCACTTCACCCTCATACAGGCTTTCTGCTGCGAGAACGACATCAACATCCTGAGAGTCAACAACACCCGGCGCCTGGCAGAAATGTTGGGTGGAGGAGGAAAACAGAGCGGGGGGGAACCTATGGACCTGCACTGCGTCCTAGTCACTGTAAGTTTCATTCCACATGTCTGAATACATGTTGTAATGATTTAATACAAGGGGTTAAGTCAAGACACTCAAAGAAGAACTTGCCTGTACTTGTTCTTGTGATAAACAAGTACATGACTCCTCTCTCATATGACTTCTTAGGAATTTCAGCAGAGTGGAATACCTTTAATATCTCCACACACACACACACACACACACACACACACACACACACACACACACACCTAGATTTGCATCACTCAACAGCCAGAAAAACAATGGTTATGTATTGAGAGGCTGGTCAAATAAAACATTCACAAGCCATGGACCAAAAAGTCAACTTTGCACACTGAATTCAGATTATTTATCTTTCTCTTCTTTCATATTTTCAGAGCCCTCATTCGACATCATGGAAGGACCCTGCTCTGACCAAAGTGAACCGGTTCTGCAGGGAGAGCCGCTGCATGGACCAGTGGGTTCCCATCATCAACCTGCCCGAGCGATGAACTTTGAGCATGGACACCCTGAGGAAGGACTTGTATCTGCACAGTAAGCGTGGTGTGAGCCCTGATGGACACATTGCCACCCAGAGATCAAATTCCAAAGCACTGCTGATGGGGAAAGAAGAAGACAAAGACTCTGGCGTCTTTATGGGATGTATTTAAAAGAAGAAGAAAAAAGCCGGGGGATGGACTGTTTGGAGCTGCTTCTGTCAGCCTTGAAGACGAGACGGAGGAAGCACTTGTGTCGTCATGAGGTGGACGTTTCAAAAAGCACGGACACTTCCTGTCCTCGAGGATCCTATCATGTCTGTGTGGTGAAGCCTCTGATCCGAGTCAGAGAGAGGAGGGTCTGTGGAGTGGACGAGGCCTCTCTGCAGAAACAAAGCACTTGTTGAAACACTGGACCTTTTTATGCAATTTCACTTATTTCATTCAAATAGTAAATGTTGACGTTGCTATTGTCCTATTTAAAAAAAAAAAGAAAAAAGGGAAGGGCTCCACATCCAGTGAAGACACTGTGTGTACTTCCTATGCCAGCTGTTTTATTGGCACAAGTACAAATAATTATTTTCTTACAATATAAGTTATTTCTAATGATATTTAAATGTATTTATGTTCCTTTTTTTTACTTTGCAAAATCTGAATACATATGTATTGCTGTCAATAAAAAAGTATTTCTTTTTTGGAATCCAGAACTGTTCTCCTTTTTGTTCCATTTCTGGAAATGTTAGTAAACGCCCAGCTGTTGTGGCCTTTGACGGCTGTGAAGAGGAGTCACGTGCGGATCAGAGGGGTCACGCTGGCCTCTGTGGCCCCGGGGCCATCTCTGGGCTGATGAGAACAATAATCCTCTGCACGTGCTTCTGCTCGCTCAGCAGGAACTCGCTCACTCATCCACACAGGTTCCCTTTTCACCGATTCTCACTGATTTGTTGGACAGTTCAGTGTTTCACCAGCTGACTTCCTCAAACAAGAGCATGTGACATCAGCTGCACACAATACCTGTATTCCACATATAGTACTCAGATCTTGTACACAAGTAAAAGTCCTGCATTCAAAATGTTCCTCAAGTAAAAGTAGAAAAGTATTCTCATCAAAATATAGTGAAAGTAGCGACAGTAAAAGTAGTCATTGTGCAGATTGGTCCATTTCAGAATAATATATATGATGTGTTTTATAATGATTGATCATGAAAGTGTTCTCAAAGCTGGTGAAGGTGCAGCTAGTTTGAATGACTTTGTATACTGCAGGGTAGCTTGTGGATTTACTCCAGGTGGAACTAAAGTCTGATTCAACACTTGATTATATTTCACATCATTCATCCAGATCTGTAAAGTAACTAAAGGTACTAAATACATGTAGTGGAGGAAAAGTACAAAGTAGCATGAAATGCAAAAAGTATCTCACGAAGTACCCTCCTTGGGTAAATGCAGTCTTGAGTCTTTAGTGCTCTAAATATTAATATCACTTTTTAATTGAGGCAGCGTGGTACCATCAGTGTTTCTGTAGACCACTGGCTGACTGCCCCCAGGATCAGAATGTGTGTGTGGCTGACTGCAGAGCACATGACTTAGAAAATTGTTCGTTAAGGAGGCACTGGCATGCGATGTGTTGTGCAAGCCGGTCTGAACTGCTTCACCCCCCCCCCCACGCTCCCTTTTCTTATCCAACTGTGTCTCACACACGCGCGCAGGTGATCTCCCAGGAGCAGGGTGTGATGATGTCACAGGCTCATCATGTAAGGCAGGCAATCCCCTCAGGAAGTGCTGAGTCATGGTCACGAGAAGAGACTGGCCTTCAGTTACACAACCAGAGCTGAGACATCATGGAAGAGAGGTCATGTGACAATATGTGATCAAGTATTTACACATCATACTTAAGTTAAAAGTAGTAACACATAAGTGTAGAAATACTCAAGTAAAAGTCGTGCATTCAAAATGTTATGTAAAAGTAATAAGTACAAAAGCATTAGCAACTACATGCACAAAAAGAGTAAAAGTACTCATTCTGCACAACAGCCTACTTTAGAATATTATGTTATATTTAATGGTGCAATGTAGCTAAATAACTTAATGGTATGACATAATTTAAGTACAAGTTTGAGGTATTTGTACTTCACTTGAGTATGTCCCTTTCCTGCTATTCTATACTTCTACTCCTCTACAAATCAGAGGCCCTCTTTACTCCACTGCATTGATTTCAGATTGATAACAAGATATTATGAAGTCATGTATTATTATAGGTACTCTGTTACAGTAAAGGTCCTGCATTCAAAATGTTACTCAAGTAAAAGTGTGAAGGTATTAGCATCAAAATATACTTAAAGTAGTCGTTGTGCAGATTGGTCCATTTCAGAATAATATATATGATATGTTTTATAATGATTGATCATTAAAGTGTTCTCAAAGCTGGTAAAGGTGCAGCTAGTTTGAATGACTTTGTATACTGCAGGGTAGCTTGTGGATTTACTCCAGGTGGAACTAAAGTCTGATTTAACACTTGATTATATTTCACATCATTCATCCACATCTGTGAAATGTATTTAAAAATGTAGTGGAGTAAAAGTACACCATTTACCTCTGAATTGTAGTGAAGTAGAAGTACAAAGAAGCATAAAATGCAAATACTCAAGTACAGTGCAAGTCTCTCAAAATGTTACAAGTATAGTGGGGGGATTCTCCCTATTTTAGAAATACTAACATATAACTACGCATTCTGGTACACTCTGAGAAGAAAATAAATAAATCTATTACTACCCGACATATTAATAATATGTTGCCATTGTTTGTTTTTAACTTAGTTCTGACAGCTGAACTTGATGCTCCACACAGAGAGAAAAGCAAAGAGGAGATAGTCTGTGTGATTACTTTAAATTGTGGGTAAGGGTAGATAGCCCCCATTGTTCTGTGACCTGTCAATCATCAAACCGGGGGTCATATTTCATTATGTGTTCGTTTTTATCTGAAGTTGTAACCATGGATGTATAAAGAATAGTTCTACCGCAAAGTTATTCTCCGTGGGGACTTCCGGCTACATGTTGATTCTGATTGGCCAGAAGACTCGAAAAAACATCAGCAAAGATGTTTTATTTAGAAGATGATCACTACGTGACAGAAGTTTTCAAAACCGTTTATGGTCTCCGGTACTTCCAGTCCAACGCCTACTGCATGCACAGCGTTAGAACATCGGGCCTTCAAAATAAAAGTTTGACTTTTTCCAAAAAAAATTAAAATTGAAAGAATTATTATTATTTATTTAACGCCAGTTGAGAACCACTGATCTAAACGTTATGAGGTCACATGCACGCCTACATCCAACACACAGGCAGCACTGATGAAGTCTGATAGACAGTATAAAGGACGCTTGAATAAACACTACTTTATGACAGGATGATAAAACTGCTCCTACAGATAATGGTGGAAAGGGCCCAGCAGAGTCTTGTTTCAGCCTCTGTGTGTGAAAGGTTGTGTGTGTGACTGCAGGGTGTGACGCTGACTGATGTAACGTTGCATTGTTGTGATGGAAGGGAAAAGGTTATTTTAAGGAGCAGCGATGGACTGACGTAAGTTTCAGTGTGACTCTGAGGCCTCCCAGTGAACTACACAGAGGTACATCATGTGTTGCTCACTACAGCAGATGTTCCTCTGATAAGTCACGGTGCACTTTGAATTGTTGTATAGTGCAACCCGAGGAACATATTCTGCTGTGCTGTAATGCATATAGAATTGTATTATACTCGGACATTGTGCCAAAGATTATAACATAGGGGAGAGTGGGGTAAGATGAGCCAATTTGTAGTTATGTGTTCCTCCAGGCAAGGAAACATTTGATAGAAGTCAAATGACAACAACAACCTTTACTTCAGGATGTCTTCTGTCAATCAAAATCAAAACAATGCATCTATCAAGGGCCATGAAAATATGACCTCTCAAAAACGATTGGCTTAACTTGCCCCATCTAAGGGGTAAGTTGATCCGCATCAAGGGGTACATTGATGCCACGTTTACAGGGAGACGAAACGGGTTGTATCCGCTACAGTTCTCTATCGTATGGACGGTTCGTCCACACGAGGCCGTCACGGAACCACGGAAACGGAGCCCTCAAACGATAACGGCTCCCAAGGTGGGTAGATCTGCGGACGAAACGCTCTGGGGGGCCAAACGGCTCTGTGTGTACGTCCTATACGAGCCTTTTCTTATCAAGCTCCACATTTGTGGAATCAGCTTCCAGTTTGTGTTCGGGCGGCAGACACCCACCCTATTTTTAAGAGTGCGCTTAAGACCTTCCTTTTTGATAAAGCTTATAGTTAGGGCTGATTAGATTCAGCCCCTAGTTTTGCTGATATAGGCTTAGTTTGTCGGGGGACATCTTACTTCTTCCTTCTCTCTGTCTATACCTGTGTACTCTCATGTTCCGATTAACCCAGCTTCCCCAAATGTCTTTCTTTTTGGTGTCTATATACGCCGGGATCCGGAGTCATGGATGATCCTGCGCTCCTCTGTCCTGGATCGCGAGCCCTGGATCTTGAGTCGTGGCTGTGGTCCTGGATCATAGGTCCTGGATGGATATCCTCGTGGATTCATCTTCTTATTATACACACATGCATTTCCAAACATTTGGACTACCTATGTTGCAAATGTATTATCTTTTCAATTTACACACGGCATCTATTGCACGTCTGTCCGTCCTGGGAGAGGGATCCCTCCTCTGTTGCTCTCCCTGAGGTTTCTCCCATTTTTCCCTTTAAACTGTGGGTTTTCTTCGGAAGTTTTTCCTTGTACGATGTGAGGGTCTAAGGACAGAGGGTGTCGTATTGTCATACTGATATTTTGTACAAACTGTAAAGTCCACTGAGACAAATGTAACATTTGTGATATTGGGCTATATAAATAAACATTGATTGATTGATTGATCATTTCCTGATAACGATGACGCCATAGCCCCGCCTCTCCCCACCTCTCCTGCTCACCCCCGCATCACCCGCGTCATTGCTGATGTGTTTTGCCAACAACAACAACAACAATGGCGGATCACAGGGTTGCCTTCGTGCTCCAGACGCTACTGACCATGCTACAGATGTTAGTGGAAAATCTACAGCTCCTCTACCACAACCATCAGCAACAAGTGGACATGGAGAACTACATGAACTACATGTTGCTAAATCCACTGCGGAGAATAAACAGAAGGGCAACCAGGCAACCATGGCAACCATGCTCGAGGGGGGGGTCTTATTCGCTGCTTTTGGTGTATTTTGTGGCGGAAGTACAGCGCCACTTACAGGCCCGGCATATGTACTACAGCGTCTCCAGCGGGCCGAGTGGTCTCGTGTGGACGGACACGTTTCTTGAGCCGATTCCGTGTGGACGGAAGACTTTTTTGATATCGACATCGATTCACGTGTAAACGTGGCTTGAACCATCTGGGGGTAAATATTTATTTTAGTCATTCCTGCTAATCTTTAGCTAAATGCTTCACATGGTTTTGCACCTTGCTAAATAACCAACATGTTTGATACATATTTTCTGACTTGGATACATTTGCTTTGACAACACAGTAATTATACCTGATATGTTGAAAATGTACTTTGACAAGCAAAACATGGTTTATTGTGAAAAAAACATATTTACCACTTTACCATGTTCTTCTCTCCATCACAGCCAAATATAAATGATGGGTGCTTCCTGAATTAATGGCCACATAACAACAAATGTCCACAGTTCCTTAGATAAAGGGGGTGACTCATCTTACCCCCCTCTCCCCTACAGGAATCAAAGCACTGGCGAACAGGTCAACGTCAGGTCAAGATAACAGTATTGCAGAATGAAGGCGACATTTACCATTCAATAAATGTTTCCATGTGTTAGACATAGTTATATAGTTATATTCTACATCTGCAAATAAAATAATCTGCAAGTTTTTTTTTACAAATGTATTGCTTGAAATGTAGTTGAACGTAGCCTTCAAATGTCCTAACATCCTTGTGAAATCTAAATATTTAATAAATGAATTCTCTAATGAAAATGTAGCTGGACAATATAGTCTAAATATAATCCACATTCCAATTAAGGGCGGGGTTTACATTTTGCAATTGTTGCTACAAATACTCATTAATGGTCGTGATAGCAGTTTCAAGATCCTTAATTTAAGTTACAATAAAAATATTTAAATCGTAAAATACTGGGTAAATGTCCAAGTAAAAGTATGTACATGTAAATAAGGGTTAATTCACTGTAATTATACTGCATGATTACGAAATGAACACTGACAGGATGAGCAGTGTGGAATCATACGGAGGGAATTTTACAGTTTGAGTATGACTCACATTATCCTGCTTATCACACTACTAATTACTAAAGTTAACAGTAGTTCGACCCAAATATTGAATAAAGCTATTTGTTTTATACAATAAAATTATTTTATTTATTCTTCTTAAAAAACATGCCTTGCTGTGGTCCGAAATGGTTTCTGTCCACAGCAATGGTGTGTTACACGTAGCAAAAGGTTGCAATAACAGAATCGAGTAGGCTACTCAATAAATTAGTAAAGTATAAAGTGGCCCATTTACCAGTCATACCACAGAGCTCCCAAAGGCCAACATGTTGAATGTATGTATACATCTTTTATGCAGGGTCTTTAATATGAAGTAATGCAGCATGTTTTATAAATGTATTTTTAAAGTCAAAGCAAAGTAACTAGAGGCTGTAGTGAAGTAAGTTCCTCAAAATGGTACTTAATTCCAACCTTAACTAAGTACTCTTTGTACTTATGCTTTTTTATCTACACCCGCTGAGCCCACCAGAGGAACAGAGGTGCCACTGCACTCCCGCCCACCCCACTCTGACCCCCCTTCCTCTCCCCCTCATCAGCACATTCCAACACACTGACACTGTAATGCCTCTGAAGGCCAGAAGCATGCCCCCCCCCAGCCTGTGCAGTAATCCCAGCGTGTCATTGTGCAGCAATGTGAGAACCCCTGACCATGAGCCTCTGTGGAAACCTGCCTGCAGAACCAGAGACACAGAGAGACCCAGCAGACTGTTCCACGCTGGGGCATCGGAGAAATACCTCTTTTGGTTTCAAAAGTTACCTTAAATCATGCACTCTGACTTATTTTTCAGTGTTTGAGATGGTCATCTGCACAACTCCCCAATCTCCACTGTTTTTATTTTTTAATACACTATATTTATTTCATATTTTTACGGTACTTAGTTTTTTAAATATATATATATATATATATATATATATATATATATATATATATATATATATATTTAAATGCCTTGTTAAAGGTGGGGTAGGTACGTTTCAGAAACCGGCTCGAGATACACTTTTTGTTATATTCCATGGAATGCTCTTAACATCCCGATAGCAATGAATATCTGAAGTGCTTTGACAAAAAATCCATAAAAAAATGTCATCTGTGGAAGCCGTGGTACTGTAAAAAGTACAACCAATCCGTTTAGCCGGATTGCCGCCCTGTCTGTCAGCCTTCCATCTCGTGCACGCACAAATGTATCTCGTGCCGTCATTGGGCGTGCATTGCAGCAGTACTTCAATGACTCGCCAGCAACAGGCGGACACTTTCACCAGTCTGCAGACGTCATGTGCGCGTTCATGTGTGTTGGAGGAGGTGCTCTGTAAGGAAGTCTGAAGGAAGGGGCGGATTCGTTTCGGCTGTGTACTAATTTTAGTGCACTCGAGCCGGTTTCTGAAATGTACCTTCCCCACCTTTAATATATACATTTATTTTCTTTCTTTAATGTAAAATTGCTTAAATTGTTTCTTTTCTTTTTATAATAGTAATATTTCCGTAGTTTTTCCTCATACTGTGTTGATGTAGATACAGAATGTTGCAATCTGTGCAATAACACTGCAATGTGCAATATACACTTTGTTTGCAGTTTACTTTGCAATAATGGGGTGCATTTTTATAATATTACATATTTTTTCAAACGTGTGGCCGTCTCTATATTTAATATGTTAGCCTACTCTTTTAATGTTTGCCTTTAATCTGTTTAGGAGCACTTGTTGACGTTCGGGGTTATAAAGTTGGCATCTGTCACTGTCAGCTAGCTTCCCAGAAATTCTGCTAAAATACCGGAAGGAATCATGCAATGACGATTAAACGTACATATTAGTTACGTTTCCAGTGACAGTTGCCATCGTCATAAGAGGCTTCTCAATACTCAAATGTCCCCTCCTCGACTCCTCGACTCCTCGGTCCTCCGGTAGTGACCCGGAAATGAATTTCAGCGCGCCATTTTGAAGGACATCTAATTTCTCTAAATGCACACCGAGGACCGAGGATCGAGCGTCCAGGAGGCTCTCTGGAGGAGCTCTAACCGAGGATACACTGATGGTTCCTCCACGGCTCCTCCGCGGATGCATTTCCGGGAACGGTGGAGGCGTGACGCACGGCCGGACTTATCTCAGCCAATGACAGCTCTGCATGCATCCCCTGGATATTATTTTAGAAACTGCTTTCATCGCATCGCGATGTTTCCAGAGAGAACAGCTGTGAGGTCCATGCAGAAAGCAGAGCAGTGTGTATAATATATATCACTCAGTATAACAGGCCTACTCTCTTTATTTGCTGTAGTTTAGTAGATATCTACAAACAAAGAGTCGATATTTTTCTAAGACCATTGCTTCACATAATAAAATACACAACGGCTTATGCTTTAGGAGCTGTAGGTGTGTGTGGTACAGTGTGTAGGAGTGTGTGTGTGGTACAGTGTGTAGTTGTGTGTGTGGTACAGTGTGTAGGTGCGTGTGGTACAGTGTGTAGGTGTGTGTGTGTGGTACAGTGTGTAGGTGTGTGTTGTACAGTGCGTAAATGCGGCGGACAGACGGGTCTCAGTTGGTTTGGTGTCCTCTGCTTACTTTTAATACTTGTAAATACAACTTTTGGCCCGTAATTTCAATTCCCCATTTCAGCGACAGAGAGAGGGGGGGATATATCCAGTCTCTGATTGTGTTACGTTATTATGAGAGTGCTCTCATACTTTAAATTGTATATATTTATATAAATATATTTGTGTGTGTGTGTCCGCATCTGTAGCCTGTTATTGTCTCATTATACCGCACTCTCAATGAATTCAAAGTAAATATGTGGGGGAACAATGTTCAGCTGATCTAACAGAGATACAGCGCTGTGACAAAACACTCGACAGCTGATGCAGCTGTTGCCACGTAATAATGAACGGACGTCGCTTTAATATGACCGCTCAGAGGAGAGGAGTTCTCATTTCTTTAAACGTCTGCTGCTTCCCCTCCTCTCTCCTCGGTTCCCCTCCTCGGTCCTCCGCTCGCATCTCCTGTGGGCGGGACTAAGTCTCGAGGAGGGGAGTCGAGGAGGGGAAATTTAAGAATTGAGAAGCCTCTATAATGTCTGATCAGCAAGCGCTCCGGTCCCAGCTGTGTGCGTCACTCTTTAGTTTCCCCGTTTACCTTGGGTGTTGAGCTTAGCAGCGTTTTGTTTATGCAGCGCTTTCAGTAAACACTGCGCATGTGTTGTCAAGTTGCTGAAGATAATTACCGTGCATGTGTTTTGGAACATTTGTGTTTTTATGTTTGCATCATTTTTGAAACTGCAGCGTGTTTCTCCTAATGTGTTGGGCCCATAGACTGTATATATAAAGGTTGGGCCGCTGTAGCGTGTTGGCACATGTCGGCCCCCGTAGTTGTCACTCTTGAAGTAACGCTGTACATTTCCACAGCTGCGGGACAAATAAAGCATTTCTGATTCTGATGTACAAACAAACACCAACACAATTTCCTTGTATGCTCCATGGAAATAAACCTGATTCTGATCTTTGACATTCAATTCAAAATATGCTGCCGTCTACACAATGCTAATGCACCTGGCTGTTCCTGCAGGGATCTTCCAGTAAAACAGCACAATCTGTGAGAAAATAGCAAAAGGATGGTAAGTCCTAAACAATGAAGAATAAGTGACAATGCTTTGGTCAGATTGAAGTGTGAGAGCCATCATGTCCTATTCAGTGTTCTGCAGATGTGACAATGAGTATTATTCCTGTGTGATCTTCCAACTGTGTGCAGGAGATATTTAACAAGCAGTTTGTCCAGCAGCTGGCCAGGAGCAAGGTCAGAGCGGCCACCAGCGAGAAGGAACCACGCTCCCAGGCTGAAAGACGTTCGCCCAAAATAGTTCTCTACTCTCCAAGAGCGGAAATCAGGGTTTGGTACTTTCTATTTTGAGCCTTCTTGTGTTCTCTGCTTTCCTTCTGACAGCCGCTGAGAGGCCCGGTGTCTCTGCCTTCCTGTGGCAGATATAAATAAAGGCTAATGAGAGGAAGTGGCCCGAGAAACTCTGAGGGCACAATAAGAAAACAAACAGGCAGCAGTGGTCCTCTTCTGACATCTTTATTGAGATATTAGCACAGCATAGAACTTTAGGAATGCTTCTCTTTATACATCTCAGGTAAGTCGTCATACAAGATCGGTATATTAATAAAGACATTTATCAAAGGTCAGATTTTGACGGTTAAATTCATCTATCAGTGGTGCAGTAAGGCCGTTACGGAGTCGCTGAATGGACAGAAAAATCACGACATTGCTGTGGTGATCTGAGCTTTTCTTTAAGAGGCATGTAGGATTTATTTATTGCAAGAAAGAAAAGACAATCATAAAAAACCCCACTGGTTAAAAAGAGAATAAGGATACTGAAGAGTGGAGCACCAGGCGAGTGACACGTAGACGAAAACAAATGGCACAGTGGTGTTACAAATCCTCCCACAGGTAGACACATTTGATAAGAACTTTTTTTTAAAGAAAGTACTCCGGGAGGAGAGCTCTTCATAATACAAGGCAAACATAAGTAAGGCTTACAAGTGTAAGACATTATAAATGTTTCTGTCACATGTCACCCAGAGAATCACAACATGTTAGTTTGAACGCCTGCACCGACACACGTTTCAAATTCAAGAGCAGAATTGGGAGAGTGGTTGTTGTCATTAATGCACACTACGAATGCACCTGTACCTTTACACCACTTCTGCCAAAAGCACTTTAGGATAGCACATTCGCTCCACACTGAAGTTTAGCGTAGCTCACAGTGCTGCGTGTCCCAAAAATATCGTACCACAGAAAGTTATCTAGCAGGAAGAGCTACAAATAGCCTCATTCAGACGCCCGCCAGTGGTGTAGTGATGACCTGTTTTTGAAGGCTGACCCGGACGTTAGCATCGCAAAGCGCTGCCTTAACAAAAAGCAATGGGATTGTTCCTCTCTGAAGCTCTGTGGCTCCTTTATGATACTAACACACTTTGTTCAGCAGGATCATTTCCACTGCTTTGTGATTATTGAAGTGTCAATTCTATCAGCTAAAGCTAAGCTATAATTAAACTACATCACAATGGTCAATCCAGTCTCACGGCATTTTGTGTAATAGTCGCGAAATAAATGTAATCTATTGATTCATATTTTTTTCGTGTCACACAGAACGATTTTAAAAGCAATGTATTTCTATTGGTAGTATGTTTCGTGCCTGCAGCACGTCTTTTTGTCCGGTCGGGTCTTGGAAGACCGGAAGCTGTGGGGTTCATAAAAACATGTTCTTACTCAATATCAAGCCACGATTATTGTTTTTATTTTAAATCGTATAATGTCGGACTTTGTTTGCCGTCCGCGAGGAAAATAAATGGGGCTCAGAGCCTTAGAATACTGAAATCTGTATTTTTATCTTTTTTTCCTTCTAATTTGTTATTATTGGGTGCAGGAATGAAACATAATATCAATAGAAAGACATTGCTTCCAAAATCGTTCTGTGACACCATATTTTTTTGGAAATTGTGTTGGTGAACACGAATCAATAGATGCATTTCGTGACTATAACACGAAATACCATGAAACTGGGTTGCTATGGTATGACTGCGCATCACCATGCTAGCTCATTTCCTGGTTTTAGTACTCATTACTGCACCACTCGTTTTTTAAATGCAGTACCATTGGTTTGGCTTGGTTCTCGGGGGTCTTCATTACAAAATTATAAAATAATGTGCGCAAGCTTTTTCATTGTTGCTTCATTCACTCCATATTGTGCAGCTGACAACACAGTCATATCATCCCAATGGTTTGAATCTGAGCCGATGTTCTTGGATTGAAGATGTTGATATGGAATGAATCTCCCAGAATGGTGATTAACTCAGTTTAAGACAACACTGTATCATGGTGCATACTGCAACTGTTAGGAACATGGGGGGTTAAACAGCATGTGGATTATCGTGGCCAGTCAGAGCCACGATGCAGAATACTGAGTGTTACTAGCACTGTCATTAATCAAAGATACTTCATGGTAACATTTGAATAACGGCTAAACTGCACATCATCTCTAAAACACTGATGGGAAGTCTGAACCATTATTATTCATTTAAGGCGAGACACTACAGGTGGATTGTTTCAAAATTCTATGTGAAATATGCAAATAGCCTTTGATAAAGCCAGCCATTCAAAATTCAAGATTTTTTTACTGGGAATTTTGGATTTCTCTTTGTATTCAAAAAAATGTTTTTAACAACGCTTTTAGGAATAACATTTCATATAAATCAGGCTATGAATGATTGGTCAACCGCTTAGAGATGGCCTATTAGGGAGGCTGTGGCTCAGTGGATAGTGATAGATACACAGTGGTTTTGGCCTTTGCAGGTGACAGTAATATCTAGAAAACTAATATATATCAGTATGAGACTTCCTTAATTATTCACATACAATAAGAAAATTGTATTTTGTATTAAACAAAAAGTGTATGTAGAAATATGCCAAAAATAATGACGTTATCAAATGCTAACTTTGGGTGAATTTAGGATAAATCCACATACTCAGAAAGGGTAAAATAATGATCTTAAGGTGTATTTTGAATGTTTTAAAAATCAGAAATGGACAAGAGCATGAGAAATGTTTGTGTCTCGCCTTACATTTTAAAGTATTTAAGATTCTGAAGGGAAGCTTTGGCTGTATGAATGCATTAAGGCAAATCAGAGAGACAGAAAGAGTCACTGTCGAATGAATAGGAGACATGTTTACACACATTAAGAAGAATCAAACGCATCACTGAGGAGGACGCTAACTTATGCAGCAAAGTCTCCCAGTTAGTGGAGCTCACACCCTGCTCAGAGAAGATGTGAACGTAATGATACCATCCCCCCCGCACTTATCCCAACAAAAGAGTACAGCGACATTAATAAGCACAATAAAACACATAAATGCTAAGTGGCATCCACTACAATATAGTGCAGGTTTTTTTGTCCTTGAAGGGATTGTCTGAGGTGGGGATGCCCATGAGGAGGGGGTCGTTTCTGGCATGTTCACTGCAGTAGTTCATGAGGTCTGCAGAGGCCTTGGAGACCTGCACAAACACAGGGAGAAAGAGTTAAGAAGGGGGGGGTGGGGGGGTTGAGCCGTCCCTTATAGATACTGTGTTTTTACGTTAGTGAGCCGGATCATTTGGCTCGGCTCTCTTAAAGCGCGGACTGTTTCGGCTCCCAAACGGCTCTTCATGTTACCACAGTTTACCACGGAGCCTCAGTTTCGCTGCTGTGAGGCTCCGGCACTCGCAGCTCACGCGCGTGCTGCACTAAAACCCCCCCCGCTCATCGCGTCCAAATCGCGCACGTTCCGTGTGGTCCTGTAGCAGGCACCTTCGATGTCGGGAAACGATCTTCAATACTCCGAAAAGAATCCCACCAGACTCCTTTGCCCTTCCAACAGAGTCCTTGTCCTTTTTCCTTTTCGTCATTTCAAGCGATAAAAACTCTCGATTTTCTCTCAAATTATTTATATTTTTGGACGCCCTCGGCTCGCGTTCAGGGCGTCCCGAGCTGAATAAGGGCATCAAATAACGGCAAGACGCCCCCCTGGCGGAAACGCTGGTGGTGCGGAATGAGTCCTAAAACCTGGAACTGAGTTAGCATTTTAGCGCTTCTGGTTCCCTCTTCTCAAAGTCAAGGTTTTTTTGGATGGGTCTGTGGTTAACTCAAGCTTACCAGATCTTAACGTTTGTTATATAAGATAAAACTTGTCAGTCAATATTGTACTGGTCGATTTCAATAGATTCTATGTCTTGAAAAGGGAGTAAATAAACGAATAAATGTCATCAGGCCAAACATTAGCAGCGATTAGCTTAGCGGTGGTGACGTTAAGTGAAGTCATGTGACCGTGATGCACTTCTTTTATAGCCTAAAGTTTGCTTTTTACTTCTGGAGATCGCATTTATACTTGAAACAGTGGTGTTAATATGTGGAGATTATCCTGCTGAACAAAACGTGCGAAGATGTGTTTGCTACAGATCTTATTTTATGCGATATATACCAAAATGCTCAGAGCAGGGACAGCCAATTAGAACCAAGACCTTCCCTACATCTGCCACATGGTTCATTCTTTTTAAGAAATGTCCATCGTTCCTTTGGTAATTATTTGTATATTATTTGTTTGTAAGTGAGTGATATTTGAACGAACTCTATAACATCACAAGTAGCATTTAGCATAGTAGTTAGACATGCAAGAAGGGAGGAAATGACAGAAATGAGCTGAAAGTGACTCTAGAATAGGGAGATTGTTGCACCTTTATCCTCTCGATGCTCGCCTCTATCCTCAGCTGCTGCACCGTCCGCCGGGCGTGGGCGATGCTGTTGGAGCTGTGCGCCTTCGAAGACATCCTGGGAACTCAACACTGAGGAAGGACCATAAAGAAAAGCTTTAACACACTGGTATACGGCAGTCTGGGAAAGAACACACTTGTTTGAGATTACCAAAATAATAACAATGCAAATAGCATCTTGTGTACCAGATAAAACCAACCAAATGAATAAGCAGAGAATAAAGGACAATGGGCCAGAAAACCATTGAGTTATGTCGTATATATTAGATTTCAAAACCTCCATGGATCAAAGGTTCTGAATGAAAAGAGTCATTGTGGAGCATGTTTGCATTTTGAGGTATAGGACGTTTTTATGCATATTTTGAACAAACCATACTATGTGGTATTTTTCTTAAATTCAAGACATTCTTTCTGATATTTTCAACTTGTCCCTTTCCTTTACATTTCGACATTCTATATTATGTTTTTTCCCCTGACATATGTATGTAGTATGCCGTTTTTCCACTGACTATGTTGTTTATTCCTGTGTTTGAAAATGTTCGACATGTCGTTTTTTGCATTGCGGTGCATTATTGAGATATAATAATGGTTGATAGAGAAAATATTGTTTTGCCCACTGGGGTTTAATCACCGTCATGTCGAGACTATTCTGAAGCCATGGTTGTAAAGCATGCAGCTGTTGGTTTAGTGAGTTTCAACGACTCCTCTTCTACACTTCCTCTTCCTCTGCTGAGTAGTTCCCAAAAGTGACATCACCTACCAGGGTTATTTATTAAGAAGTACACACACAGCTGAGGCACACCCATGCATATGCAAACTGATTTTTGTTGTTTGGTTTTGGGTCTGCAGACATGGCACAATAATGCTACTGTCTTCAGTGTGCACAGAAATATAAACTAGGCTTATAGGCGCCAAAATACAACAAAGACTGAACGTCTGACATTGCAGGGTATCTGTATTCAAACAAAAAGCCTCAGCTATGATAATATGTCTGATTGTCAGTGTGTGTGAGATGCTGATGTGTGGGAGCGTTGAAGCCCTGCAGTCTGGGATGTAACTCCTCTTCCTGCTAATCATTTACAGACCGGCTGAGAACAAGCCCGGACACATCCCAGCTCCATGAGGGAGCTCTGGCTCCTCTGACTCGCCCTGCGCTCCTACTTCCTTTTACTGCCATTTGTGTGTGTTTCTCATAAAAACACACACATACTTCCTTTAAAATGTTTGCAACACACTTCTTGCTTTGGCCCAAACTTTTCTCAGTAGGGAACAGGAAGCTTCGGGTACAGTTTCTCAGAAGTTTATTGTGAAAGCTTCTGCAGGCTCAGGTTTTATTTCTTAAAATACAGATGTATACAATTTAAAAAAAAAGAAGTGGTCTGTTAAAAGAGGCCCTGTCATGCTCATGTTCAGGTTTCATATCAGTCTGTAGTGTCTCTCCTGGGACGTGTCTCCATGCTTTAATGTTCTAAAGCTCTATGTTTCTCACACTGCCTGTGCTGCAGCACCTCTTTACCCCCTCTGTCTGAAACCAGAGCCCAGTCTGCTCTGATTGGTTAGCTGGCCGGCTATGTTGTGATTGGTCAACTGCTTAAAGATGTATAATCCCCCCCGCCCCTTAGCTTATCACCTACAATCTGTTGGAGCGCTAGCCAGTAGCACAGAGAGTGTTACATAGTGATGTCACTATGTTACTAAAGTAAACAAAGGAGTCCAATGGAGGCGTTTCAGGCAGGGGGGGGGGCGGGGGGGATTATACCAAACCTCAAAAAGCAGAGTAGGGCCTCTTTGACATGCCATAGCAATTCAAAAGGCATTGTGTTCCATCTGCGAATTGCCATCATGTTTCCAGGACAGTTATAAATAAACTCAATGAGTGCAGTGTTGTGTAATCAGGCCCCGGTCACTGTAACCGTAAATAAAAAAGGAGAAGGCACGGGTGAGTGCAGAACGCAACAGTTTAGAGTGACATGCAGTCACTTTGTGTGGCCATCTTTTTATAGCACACCACATTTGTTTTGTTTTGTTCAGCCCTGTCTGCAGGAAGCAGTCCCTCCACAACGCCTTTAATGTGTGGATCTTCTCAAAGAGGAAGGGAGGATGGAAAAAGCAGAAACAGCAAGCAAAGGAAAATGTGGATCTTCTGACTTCTGCCGGGGAGAGCCTGATTAGAGAGTTGTAGTCCCATCAGAAGATAAGCAATCAGTGCAGAGGAAACGCAGCCGGAGAGATGACTCAAAGAGAAGAAATGTTATGGAGAACAGGAAAGTGAGACATGAAAGGCTTGTGCCGCACAATGCAGAGTGAACTATCCTGCTAGAGAAGCATGCTCAGCTTAGTCATCAAGGAGAGGCTCCACAGGTGAACATGGATCATTCCTTTTATCCTACATGATGTATGAAGGTGTTTTATATTTCTGAAGTGTGGGGGAGTCTGCAGATTGAACTGGGTGCCATGTTTGCTTTACTGACAAATATGAAATGACAAACTAATATTTTGAACTGATTCAACTGCAGAACAGGTTATTCACTTTGGTGAATGCGTTTCTAAGGAAACAATGTACTGTTGCTAGGTAAGAACTCCAGCTTCCTGGCACTACCAAACAAACCAGATTGCATAGCTTATAATTGTGCAATATGCAAACACAATACAGAACCTGCTACTCGAGACACCATGAATACAAAGATAACATGAGTAGTAATGCAAACAGCCTTCACACGCCAAGGTTGCTCAGAGGACACAAGCACTCTCTTAGCTAAAAGCCCTTGAGCAAGGCATGTTATATAACCGGGGGTGTTTCTCAATCTCGAGTACGCTTGCTTGGTAGCACATGTCTTCCGAGTCACTTGCTTCAGAAGCGAGGCAAGAATACTTCCTGGCATTCGGAAAACGAAGAGTGGAACAGGCGAGCAAGTGTGCTTCATATGAGAAGACCTGCCTTACATTTTCCGACAGATTTGGGGAAATTGGTCCGTGCGCAAAGCATTGTGGGGATTTTAAGACCGCGGAGTCTACACATGTGCAGCCTCGAAATTTCTCGCTACGAAGTACGTCAGGCTCGGTAGAATTCCAAGTATGCTGGACATTGAAACAGTCCTTTGGCGGCACTCAATTACGTAGTATGCTTGAAATAGTGGCTCTGGAGCAGCTTTACTCGACATTGAGAAACACCCCGGGACTCTGGAGGAACCACTACAACCTGCAAGGCAAGATTTGGGGGACGGATGTAGCCAAGCTAGGGTACTACTAGTAATTAGTAACCACTAATACCAACTAGTGGTTCTGAGAACTATTAAGCAGTTGCCAGTAAAACTGATGCACCAGCACTCTTGTTGTTCTCAGTTTGTATCTTCATGGTTTGTAGCACTTATTGGAAGTCTCTTTCTATACAAAAAAACGTCACCGAAATGAAATGACTTGAATGCAATGTTATTTTAACGTTTTAGGCTATACTAGTCGTGTTTTTTCTATTCAAACTATATTTGGGACGGCAGTTGCTCAGTCTGTATGGATTTGGCCTGGGAACCGTATAAATACGGAGTGTCCAACCTCCAAACCCCCGAACTAGCTAACCCTTCACTCACCCTCTCCTATCCTGCATGTGGTTCTGTTCGTGCATGTTCATGAGTAATATGAGTGATACAGGTAAGTCAAAGTTGGGGATTCATAAAGTAAGTTGTCTTCTTATTTTCTTTGTCACAAAAACTCACAATAGACATTTTCTGCATTACTTGCCTATTGAAAATAATGTTCTTTTATTCGAAGAGCATTTCGCTTTTTTCTTCTTCATATTTTGATGCTATTATAGGAGCTGGTGATTTAGGTCAGATTTACACATTGAAGAATGTAAAGGAAATGTGTAGGTCAAAAATGGAAAAGGATGTTTACCAAAGTGATGCCGGAATGTGCTTTTCAAATGGCACTAACCAGAAGTTGTATTTGTAGGAATATGCATAATAAACCTTTAATGTTGTATTTTTGAAAGAGGTTGAAGATGTACTGCTTTGTTATGACTAAATATAGACAGGTTGATAAACCTTAATGTTTTAGAAGAATTGTAGAGGTTTTTCAAGGAATGTTGTGCTAGGATGCAGGTTATTGGATTTATACAGATATGTCAATATTTCCCCCTTTTATTTGCTCAATTGCTGATGCCGCTCAATGAACTACATCTCCCGTCTCGCACCACACACCAAGATGGCCGTCACGTTGGAACATCTCACTTCTTTCTTTCAGAATGAGGCGAAAAGTATTAAAAGAGGTGAAAATCACTCCAAGTCTGCACGTTGAGAGCTGTACATACACACAAGGGGAGTTAGTCGGTTCCGTAAGAGCCAGCATGCGGGACCGGGATTCTGGGATTTGTAGTCTTTCTAGTTGCATATCTTTCATAGTCTTATATTTCAACAGTTTTACGACAAACTGTGACTTTTTTGACATGGAAATAATTTTTTAAGATTGACAAACATCATATGTGTAATTCGTGGCACAATTCAAACGGGATCGAAAGATGATCTTTCTCTCTCCATTGACTTCAATACATACTTTTTCCTAAATAAGGTCCCATGGGTCAGAAGTAGATGACTTCGCCTCTCTATTTGTTTAACCTTGGTGTAGATCAGTGCTTCTCAAAGTGTGGTCCGCGGACCACTTGTGGTCCGTGAGTATATTGGTAAAATTTCACATTTGAAATAAATAAATGTAAGTTTTCCGCACTCTCGCGGGATTATCGCCGCAATGGAGTGATCTTAAGTTTCTTTCTATTGCATGATAAAGCCCAGGGCAACACCTTCGTCACACATGTTGCCACCTGTTTGTACCATTTTCAGGGGATTTGTAATTTGTTCTAGAAAAACGATGTGTTTTGGGTTATTTGTGGAGTTCGGTGGTCCGTGAGTGTTTTTTTATTGGTTAAGTGGTCCTTGGTATGAAAAAGTTTGAGAAACACTGATGTAGATGACCAAATCTCTTTCTACAGTGAAAGGAATAGAATTGACTACAATTATTTGATGGCCCACTTGCATATGCAGAAATAAAATACAATGCTTTATAATATGCACGCATTAACGAGG